TAACTAGTTAGCTACTAGCTACCTCCTTATGAGTAAGGCTTTTTCTCCTGTTAATTTGTCTTTTGTCAGTTAAATTCACAGATCCCCATTAACTCAACCTCAGAGGGTAGAACAAAAATTTTTTCCTCCCCAGACAGTTCATATGCCATGTATCAATGTAGCCCACACACTTATTAATTTTTATGACTGTGGTGTCACATACCACCATTTGTCACATTCCCCTTTTGTGGGGCACTTTGGTTGTGTCTGATTTTTAATACTTTTAAGTATCTCCTTGCTTTATGACACTTTCCCTTGCCTTCCCTGTTACATAAGCTATACAAACATACAAATGCATAATTATGTAAATATATACAATTTGCTGCATTTGTTGTCAGGATCTTCAGCCTTACAGAAAAAAATGGAAAACCAGGCATTGCTGTCCTCCTGAGAGTCTCTCTTTTCTATGGAGCTGATCAAGGCACCAGTCACAAACTATTGTACCTGGATTTCTTAAAGTCTAAACATTTATTAATAGCCGCACAAATGTGCGAGGCAATAAAGAAAGATGGGGCTGGTCTGCCCAGTAAAAATGGTTGCTTTAATTTGGGATTCCCACTCCTAGAGCTTCCTGTGTCACTAGTTCAGTACATAACAAGTATGAAGAGTTCACAAGGAAAATCTGTCACTGTTGTGGTGTTTGGCTTTTAAAATTCAAAAACAGCCATGGAAGCAGATTTGGAATTTCACATTCCGCCACAAGTGTGATTTTATTCTAAGTAATGTTCATAGGCTCAGTTTATAGTATCATTTGGTTTATAGTGCTGATTATAAACCTTGGTTGAATGATTACCATGTGAACAGCACCAAACTATGGGACTGCAAAAGCCTAAGATGTGGCCCTTCACTCTGAGACATTTATAATACAACTGGCAAAGTGATAAATCCAAACTACGAATGCTGAGGGATTTATAAATAATCGTTGTGAGTCTTGGTAGTAAGATATGGAACATAGACTTTTGACTCTTTGTTAACGATTGCTAAGCCTTCAGTTGGCTTCTAAACCTAAAAGAAAATTTGGAGCAACTTTTCCATACCTTGGAACATAGGAATAGGTTATCATAAATTTTCATGGGTTCATTGTAGAGAATTCTGAAGATTTCCTTATAAATCATCACAGGATGGAAAACAAAACAAGTTTGGGATAATATCAAAGGCCCTTCAATCATTTTCAAATGGCTAAGCTAAGTAGTGCTCTCTGTTAGTGCCTCTCAGAGCCCTGAGGAACGGTTAAAGCCAGGGGAAGAACAGGTGGCAAAATATTTGCCTGGGGACCACCTTCCCAACCTCCGCACCTTGTTAATTTGGGTTGGCTTCCTCCCCACTTCCATGCTGCCGATTCTGATAAAAGTCTTCTTTAGCTAACAGACTTCACTGCTTTTTGAAGTAGAGGGTGAAGCTGGCTGTTTGAAACCTTTCTCGCTTCCCTGTTCCAGTGAGTTTAATATCTGCTCAAACAGGACTGGGGATTAAATTCCATCTACATTCTTAGGGCTATAAGAAAGATAAAGGAGGTCCCCAAGAATTAATAGACATGCTACAACTCTTCACTTTGGCACAGAGCTTCCCTTATAAGAAATAAGCGATCTTCACTGGTTCTTTGTCTTTTTAAAGACAAGCTGGGAATTTCACAGAAGTTCCTGGGAATGATTGGTTTATTCCTAGTTGTTTGAAAAAAAAAAATTCCAGGGTAGGATAATCTGCATTGTTAGATAGTATACCCAAGTCAGTAGGAGAGCTTTCATTTAAAACCTTCCTTCCCATAAGTTTTATCTAATTTACTAGCTTTGAACCAGAGGTTTTAAAACCTTGTTTCATAGAACCTGAGAGGTCCTCACACATTTTATTCTGACTTTTTGTTTGTGAGATTGGTGGATATCTTTGATTTTAAAAATATGCAAAAAATACATGAATATATTCTTGTGAAGACTTGTGAATTGATTAATACACTTTATCAAGTGCCTACTGGTATACCAGGCACAGTTACAGGTGCTAAGGCTATATCAATGAAAAAAGCAAATAAAAATTCATGCCCTCATAGAGCTTATATTCTAGTAGAAAGAGAAAAACAGGCATAGTAAATAAGGAAATTGCATAATACGTTAGAAGGTGATAAGTGCTGTCAACAGAGGTAAGATGTGGCAGATCACGAATACTAGTAGGAGGAACTGCAATTTTAAGTTGGGAAGTCAGGTAGGCCTCACCGGAAAACTTGAAGGAAGTGAAAGAATGAGTCAAATAGATTAAAAAAAAAATAGAGGAAGAACTTTCTAGGCAAAAGGAGCATCTAGGGCACAGGCCGTGAGGTGGGTCAATGTGTGTCTGTTTGAGGTGTAACGAGGAGATAGGTCTGGCTGCATTACAGTTGGTAAGGGGAAAATGAGACCAGAGAAGTAGATGGGGGGGGGGTATAGATTGTAAAGGTTTGGCTTTTACTCTGAGAGAAGCAGGAAAAGAGATTGGTATGTGCTGGGACATCTTTAAACAACAGAGATGAATATTTTTCACAAAGTATCCCCACCTCCTAATCCCACGCTTCCTAGACATTGTTTTCCTTTTGGGTCATATCTTTCCAAAGATTTTCATATGTGATTACATACATAGATGTGTACGTATGAAAATGTATAGTTTTGTTTTGTGAGGGTGTGTGTGTGTCTGTCTATGCATTTAAACATAAATGAACTTAAATGCCCTGTGTTAATAAGCAACTTGCTTTTTATAATTAATATGTCTTGGAGATCTTTCATTGTCAAGACAGTACATATATTTCTATCTCATTCTTTTTAACTATTGCATGATATTCCATTGTATCCATATGCTACATTTTATTTAACCATACGCTATTGGTAAATATTTAGGTTCTAATTTCGTTCATTCCTTCCTTCCTTCCTCCATCCCTCTCTCCCTTCCTTCCTTTTCTTTCCTTTTTTCCTTTCCACATTAAAGTACAATTGTCTTATTGCTTTTAGTAACATAAAATTACATGTCACATGAAACATGAAACATAGGAAGAGATTTGAAAATTAAAATTTGTGTTACCTTCTGTCAAAAAAAGCAATATGTTTCCTAAATTGGATTCACTTGGATTTGCCTCAGTGGAAAAGGGGCTTCAGTTACTTGTTAAGCAAGGACTTATCTAATGTTTATTGTTCTGGGACAAATTGAATCCTGAGAGCTTGAGCCCAGTTACTCTGAGCTTTGCGAAGAGTTCACTAAATCCTTAGGCAAATTGACCATCTTTAGAAAGTGAGGATCCAGCATCCACAGTCCGCTCCTTCTGTGCTGGGCTCTCTCTTCTCCACCTACCTCAGCCCACACCAACACGGCATTCAGCCGGCTCTGTGCTTAGCTTGTGTGTGTCAGTCTTGTCCACCCAGCCTTGATGTCAGCCCCTGGAGGACAGGGACTGTGTCTTATATTCCTTTTCCTCCCCTAGGTGTCTAGCTGATCCCTAGAATCATGGATATTTATTTTTAATATATGTTTTAATTATCCTTAAAAGTATATTTACCGAACATATTTTATTTGGTTTAGAAGAAACTTTGGGATAAAATTTCAGCCATCTCTGTGGATATATCGGCACTTCTTTTAAGTATGGCATTTTGCACTCGTCTGTTTTTTAGCTCCAGCTCGTGTTTATATACAGACAACTGCACTGCTAGCATAGTACACACAGGCCTTGCTCTGTTAGATACCAGGCAGGACACGGATACCTCTGCTTTGCCCAGGCTTACGCCACAGCAAAATGGTCAACTGTACAGTAACTAGAAAATTATCACGTAGGATCACAGTAGTATCATGTAAATAACTTCACACTTATTCATGATGAAGAATGAGATGAGATTTGAATCCTTGCTGGTACCCAGTGGGTGTCAATCAATGCTCGTTCCTCTCCTCTCCCTTCAAAAGGAAACAATTAGTCGTATGAATTTAAAAAGGAGAACACAGTTAAAGAAGTTCATATATATCCACAGAGATGGCAGACATTTTATTTCAAGGTTTCTTCTAAACCTTTTTGCTAGCTGGAATGAAGAGTAATCTCACGCATACTTCAAATGTGCGAAGATTTGTTGTGTTGTATGATTAAAATGCAAATTTATTTAAAAGAGCTACCTGTTATCTTGTTATTATGTATTTTCTCTTCAGGAGACTTAAAGTACACCCACTACCATGAGGGAGGAGGAATCCCATCCAAATTAAAAAGTGATCTTCACATTAAAAAAAAATCCTGGGAGTTCTTTCTTAATGATTAGAGTTTCTGTTCGGGGTGACGAAAAATTTTTGGAAATGGATACTGGTGATGGTTATGTAACATTGTGAATGTAATTAATGCCATTGAATCAGACACTTAAAAACGGCTTAAAAGGCAAATTTTATGTTATATGTATTTTACCGCAATAAAAAAATGGTAAAAATAAATGGATGGAATTTCTTAACAGTGTCAAAATTTTTTAAACTTTCATTTCAATATATATTTATTGAATGCCTGATCTGTGCGTAGGTATGCACAGTAGAGAGGAAGAAATCAGGACAGTGGCTTGACTATAAAGAAGGCAGGTTCAGTCATCAGCGTTTCACGTGTCTCATGATGTCACCATACCAGCTCTGTAAGGAAGGCATTGTTGTCACCACCACTTTATGTTGGGAGGCTTGGGTGAAAAACTTGTCAAGGCTGGTAAAGCGTGGAGCCAGAAGCTCTTAGTAAATGTCATGTTTTGTCACTTGACATCCTTCATGTTTTCAGAATATGAAATGGCTATTTAATACAGCCTTAACTTCCTGTTATACTTCTGGTTTAGAAAGGAGAACATTTGAAGGATAGCATGTTCCAAATATAGCTCCTCTCCTCTTCCTGTCTCTAGTGGGCTTTTGCACTGAAACCTGACACTGTCTGTGCTTGGTTTCTTTCACTTCCTTTCCAAATCTGTGTTATCTTCCTACTTGTACTTTTTTGCTAGAAGGCAGAGCTTGTGAAAGGAGACCCCTGTTACATCAGATCGAGCAAGACAGGAAGTTTACACAGAGCAAAACTATTTGCTAGAATTGGTTTTGATCCTTACGAAAGTTGCCGTTAGTGTCGGAGATGCTGCCATCAGGATTCTGTTGCACAAAGAGAAAGATATAGAAATCTCTCTCTCACACGTGAATTTCTTCCTTTTCCCATCCCCTTGCCAGGAACGCCGGAAAAGGATCCCAGGCTGATTGGAGGCATTAGGCTGTCAGTTTGAATCCCAGTGATTGAGAAGGAAATGTGGATATTAACCAGCTAATGGTGGAGGGAAAAGGAACTCGAGGAAATAAACGCGAACTGGACCTTTCGCCAAGGCTCGCTTGTTCGGAAAGCCTCGGTCTTTCTGATAGTTGCAGGACCTGGCCTAGGGCTAAGTTTCCTCTCTGATACTTCTCTTGCACCTGGAGTGCTGGCCGGAAGGGAAGCTCCTGGACTTTAATAGACATGGATCTTGGTTGAAGTCTCTAGGACAAAGCCTACAGCTATCGAAATCTCCTTGTCACCACTGCCTCTCCACCAAGGTTTGGGCTGCTTTCTTTCCAACTTCACAGATCATAATTGAGGTGAGTTGTTTGTTTTTGTTATTTTCAAAGTGTTCATACTGAGTAGAAAATCTTGATTCTTTTCTGGTATGTGCTTTAACAAGTAACCCATACTCATACTTTAAATATGAATCGCCTGGAGATCTTGTTAAAAAGCAGCAGAATTCAGTAGGTCTGGAGTGGGCCTGAGATTCTGCATTGACACATTCCCAGGTGACCTCAGTGCTGCTGGTCCGTGAACCATGACTTGAGTAACAAGGGCTAAAACCCTCTAGGTTTTTGGCTTTGGCAGGGGAAGGGGTTGGGAGATGGTGGCAGAATGACAATATTTGGCTGAGCACATGATTTATGTAGAGCAGCCTGCGAGGAAAATTTGACACCATCTGTGCCCTGGTTGTACCTCTTTGATGGACTATCGCAAAATTTCGGGGCTTGTGTTAAGTAGTTCCTAGATGTGGTAAACCACATCACCCCAAATGAGAGGGGATGCTGGGCCACTCCTTGGATTGCATGGGCTTCTTTGAGCAGAGCCAGAAATATTTTTGTAATTTGGGGGATTCAGTGTCCATATCATGCCTCAGCTGGAGTAGCTAGTGGTCACTTGAACATTTCTGCTTCAACTGAAAATTATGCATCTAGAAAAATAACTGATGTCTTCCTCCTACCATTTGGAGGTGAAGATTATAAGGCTTATGAATCTATGACATGATTTAAAGTCAGTTCGAGTAAAGAACATAATTAATACGTTTTATCTCCTTGTGAGAGGCCTCAGAGTGTTCCTCTTTAAGCTGAGTAGCTCCCTGTCCTAAATGATACTTGTTTATCTGAAAGTCACTTTTAATCCAAAAGCGACAACCAAGAGAGAAAAGGGGAAAGAAGGGAGAGTGGGGACCAGGGAAGTCACAGCTTTGCACAATGAATGAAAGAAACCCCACCCTGAAAGTAGAATTCTTTCCCCCACATTTGTCGGAGTTTTCTAGTGTAGTAGTTTGTGTCTTCCTCAGCTAGAGAAATATGCTCGAGACAGAATAGGTAAATTTAAAATTGTGTTGTTTTAATGAACATACTGAAACTATTTGGCATTAAGGACAATTAGTAGAATGAAAGGTCAGAGATGTGGACAGGCCCAGTATGAACCCATTATACCATCCCAGGCAGAGGTGAGTTGCTTCTGCTTAAAATAAGCTTTAAATAACATTCCTTGCTATTATGGAATATAACAGAGGTGTTACTTAAAAATTTAACAACCTATGTGGCACAAACATTGACCAATCAGAACAGAAGCTACTGTAGACAGCAAACCACTGACAAGCAGTAATAAGTGCACGGGGCTGAATATCAGCTTGTTTTCTTTTCTTTTTTTTTTTTGTTTTCTTTTTTTTTTCTTTCTTTTTTTTTATTGAGTTATAGGCAGTTTATAATGTTGTGTAAATTTCTGATGTACAGCACAATTTTTCATACATGAATATACATATATTCATTTTCACATTCTTTTTCACTGTGAGCTATTACAAGATCTTGAATATATTTCCCTGTGCTATATAGTATAAACTTGTTTATCTATTCTGTATATACCAGTCAGCATCTACAAATCTCAAACTCCTAGTCTGTCCCTCCCCCCACTTCCCCCGGCAACTACAAATCTGTATTCTATGTCTGTGTGTCTGTTTCTGTTTTATATTTAAGTTCGTTGTTCTTCTTCTTTTTTTTTTTTTGGATTTCACATATGAGTGATATCATATGGTATTTTTCTTTCTCTTTCTGGCTTACTTCACTTAGAATGACATTCTCCAGGGGCATCCATGTTGCTGCAAATGGTATTTTGTTGTCATTTTTATGGCTGAATACTATTCCATTGTATAAATATATCACAACTTCTTTATCCAGTCATCTATCAATGGACATTTAGGTTGTTTCCATGTCTTGGCTATTGTAAATAGTGCTGCTATGAACATTGGAGTGCAGGTGTCTTTTTGAATTAGGGTTCCTTCTGGATATATACCTAGGAGTGGGATTACTGGGTCATATGGTAAGTGTATTTTTAGTCTTTTGAGGAATCTCCATACTGTTTTCCGCAATGGCTGCACCAGACTGCATTCCCACCAACAGTGTAGGAGGGCTCCCTTCAGCCTATTTTCATTCACTCTTCTGGGGGTAGAAATTGTAAGGCAGCAGATGCATTCAGAGACATGTAATCATATTGCTACCACCATCTGTCAGCTCTTTGGCCCCATTCTCTCAGATGAGGCCACTAACCTGTCTTTTCAAGCCTGGAGCCAACCCCGCATTCCAGCTGTGTACCTCCTGCAGTCTTTACTAGGGAAAGTAGCGTTCTCTTAAGTCACTGCAAAATCCTATCCATGTCTTGAGTAGAAGGGAGAATGCATATGTTCTTTTGTAAAGAGTTACAGCAGAAAATGAAACTTGATCACCAAGCTGTGCTTCCACGTAAAGCATCGTCACATATATCATTCTGCCTGATTTTAAACAACCATCTCGGTAACAGGTCAAGGGGATTGTTATTTTAACCTGTCAGTGAAGAAATGGAGGCTCTGGTTAAGCAACTGGCGATGAGTCATGCAGCTGGTTAGTGGGTGTGCTAGCTTTGATCTTACCTGTCGGCTCCAAGTTCAGGTTTATCCTGTACTTTTCTCATCCTCTCAAGGCCCATGACAAAATACATTGTTCCATACTAGGGTTTGTTTTCTTTTTATGTCATAATCTGAAACCTTTGTGCATTACAAAAAATCCTATTTCTACTTTTTTTGTCAAAATTATTCACGTGTTTGTCATACGCTTTGTATCCATTAAAGCTTTTACTCGTTAGGAATAAAGGTTTTAGAGTAGTGCTTCTCAAACTCTATTGTGACTAAAAATCACCTGAGGCGCTTGCAAAAATTCAGATTCTTGGGCCCAATTCCAGACACCTAATTCAGTAGGTCAGGGCCCAGGCCTGAGAATTTGCATGCTACCATCCAGAGACCATGCTTTTAGACTATAGGCACAGCTTCAGTCAGTATTTTTAAATAACGTATTTATGGTTTAGTGAGGAGGCTTTGTGTGCTTAGTAACACAGGTTATAGAGTCAGAATTCCTGGGTTTGAGTATTGATACCGGCACACATATAAGCTGTGTGATCTTGAGGATGTTAACCCATCCAGGCCTCAGTTTCCTAATCTGTAAAATGGGGACAGTGATACCACTTACCTCATATGATGGTTGCGAGGATTAAATGACTTAACAGTGCCAGGCACAGATTGTCTCTATATGTGTTTGCTCTTGTTATTACTAAGTCTTGCTCAATTCATAATTGTTCTTATAATAGAAACACTAACAAAAAGAATTCACACAGATAGCAAATAATCTTCTTTGATGTAAATGTTACCCCAGGGCTTAATCATGAGTTAAACATGTTGTTTTGTGTGTATAAGTCGATGTCCTGGGCTGTCAGCTAACATTTCCCACCAAGGGGAGAGAGAGCAGATGATGCTGAGAAGTTGGCAAGGGCCTGATCACGCAGGGCTTTACATAGCAGCTTAAAAGCTTGGACTTAACTCTGACAGTGATGAAAGCCTTCAACATAGTTTGAAGCTGGAGAGTGCAATCAGAATTGCATTTTAGAAATATCTCCCACTGCACTGTGGAGGCCAAGTTTGGAAGAAGGTGAGACTAGGGGCAGAGAGCTGTTTGAATAGACTGTTGCAATCATCCTGGAGAGAATTAATAAAGTCAAACTACTTCTCAGACTAAGTAAGGCAGTAGAGTAAAAGCTCAGAGCAGGAATCCCATGGCTCAGGCGATGGAATGGAGCATACGCCATGACGCAGAAAGGAAACGTGATACTGTATTAAAACTCCTTAGCTTATTCTTTTTCTCCCCATCGAAGCTCCAGGAGGCTGAGCTGTGTAACTCCTGTGTAACTCCAGCCCCTAACTCCTTGTAGGTCTTTGATGGATGTCTGGTGAGTGAATGGGTGAGGGAGAATAAATTGAATCCTCCTTGTGGTCTGCAAGTGTCTGTGTGATCTGGTCCCTGTCTCTCCAGCTTCATCTCCCTTCTTTCTCATCTGTTCTTACCACACTGGCCTTACTGAAGACCTTTGAAAATGCCCAGCTGTGACCTCTATCTAGTCCAAGGAATGTCAAAGTACTGCTCTTGGAGCAAATTTGTCTTGCCACCTATTTTTATAGATAAAGTTTTATTAGAACACAACCACACCCATTTGATTAAGTATTTTCTTTGGTTACTTTAGTGCTCCAGTAGCAGAGTAGAGTAATTGTGATGAGACCACAGGTCTTTGAAGCCCCAACTAGTTACTGTCTGGCTTTTTACAGAAAATGTTTGCTGATTCCCTGCTCTAGTTCTGTGGAATTGTTGTGACCTCTGCTGTAAAACTCTACCCTCAACAAAGCTACAGTAATCAGAACCGTGGTACTGGCATAAAGAAAGGCATACATACAGACCAATGGAATAGAATAGAGAGCCCAGAAATAAACTCTCACATGTATGGTCAAATGATTTTCTGCAAGGGCACCAAGACCATTCAGTAGGGAAAAGATAGTCTTTTCAATAATAGTACTGGGAAAACTGGATATCCACATACAAAAGAATTAAGTTAGACCCTTATCTTACACCATATACAAAAATTAAGTTAAAATGGATCAAAGACCTAAACATAAGAACTAAAAATGTGAAAACATGGAGGAAAAGCTCATGACATTGAATCAGTCATTTATTGAATATGAAACCAAAAGCATAGGCAACAAAAGAAAAACTAGATAAATGGACTTCGTTAAAATTAAAATTTTATGCCTCGGAAGACATTATTACGAGATTAAAAAGACAACCTACAGGATAGTAGAAACTATTTGCATATCATTTACATGATAAGGGGTTAATATATAGAATATATAAAGAAGTCTTGCAGCTCAACAACAGCAAAAGCCAAGCAACCCAATTTAAAAAGGGCAAAGGACTTGAGTAGACATTTTTCTATAGAAGACATACAAATGGCCAATAAG